CTATAAAATTATTTTTGATATAGTGAAAAAATGTTAGTCCATGGGGGACTACATTTTTTCAAAGTCAACTGGCAATTTGCAAGCGCATTATTGTGCCAAAAACAAAATGTAGGACAAGACCATCCTATTTTGGATAATTTTAAGTGGACTGTTGATCAACATGGATTGTGGTGTAGTGGTGAAATTACTTCACTCTTAATTAGAGGTTTCGAGTTTGAGCCCTGGAAATGGAGAAAATTCTATTAAGAGCGTCATTCAAATTTAATTGAGACTCTAATACAAGCTCCAAACATCGAGTAAAAATAAAAGTCCAAAGTTGATCTATTTTTGGAAAAAATAAAAATATCATTTCTCAACCTGGAGCTTAAGATCTAATCCCCTCCTCTCCACGAAATCTAAACCAAAAACAAAGAAGTTAATTGGATATAATAAACGTCAATTAGGTTGTTACCTAATATATATCCCTAAGTTGATTATTAAAATAATGCAGACAAGTGGAGTGCAATCACATGCAGAATCACCCGTTTGAAATCCAATATCTAGGTCGTGTAGTCAACAAATAATTTAATACTTTCTCTCTCGATTTACTTGTTAAATATTTTTAAATTTAATTTCTATTTTTATTTGTTATTTTTGACAAATCCAGAAAGAACAATTTTTTCCTCTGTTATACCTTCATGTTAACATTGAGTTAATATCTTTGAAAAATATAGTGAGTAAATATATTTGAGACCAGGGGCGGCTCTACAACTTTGAAAAAAAAGCGATTGCCTTAGGCCCCAAAATTTGAGGGGCCTCATTTTAAAAAAATAAATAGGTTATAAGTATTTTTTTATTTTTAAATATCGAGTATTACTTGTAGAAAATAAAAACATTTCATAAAAGAGTAAAGAAGTAATAGAAGTTCGACAAATTATGAATACTGTGTCTCAAGAAAGATTAAAAATAATTAGCTATAATAAACTTCATAAAAAATATATATTCGAATTTAAGGCCTCCATTCGGATTTGGCTTTAGGCCACCGATTTATTAGAGCCGCCCCTGTTTGAGACTCTATTAATTAATAATAATAAAAAATGATAATTCAATATATCAATTATTATTTTCTTAAAATAAATATATTAAATAAGAAATTGACAAGTAAATCGAAACGGAGAGAGTAATTAAATAAGTTTCGTGAATATTAATTAGTAGAACTGACCGCGAAATTATGGACCCAAAAATGTTTTTTTTTTCATTTATAAAAGGCAAAGAAAAGTCGTTAAAAATAAGAAGACTTTGGGCATATTATATTCCTTTCAAATTTTCGAAGTCTTGATTGACAAATGACAATTATGGAACTTTCAGATTATTTTGAATTGGGATTTGGGGGTACTATAATCTTTAATTTGTATGAAAGAGAGTTTTTCAAATTATAAGGGAGCAAACAAAAATAGAGCAAATTTAGGAAGGGGTGGTAAAAATATATAAAATTACTTTTAAATAATTTAACGTATGATTTAGGTGAGATAGGATTTGAGATTATTTTGAATTGAAGAGATTACGTTTTTATTGGTATAATTCCTATTTTAAAGTTTCATTATTATATTTGTTAAATAATTATTTGAAAGTACGTAGTTGTTACTTTTAATTTACTTTTAAAAAATTGTAATTCCTCTATAACTTTTCCACCAAAATGTTGTTAGAGAATATTTCTCCACTGTTTAAAGCTTCAACTAGTGTTTGCTCTTTTTCTTCTTTTTCCTTTTTAATTTTCAATTTATTATGTACAAAACTTAAAGATCAAATAATCCTGTTTATAAAGATGAGGGACCAACGACCAAAAGAAAAGGATACACGTTACTTAGATGGATCTTTTTTAATTACATGAATAAAAATATTTTACTTTTGAGGTCATTAATTGTTGATACCATATCCCATTCGTCTCATATTAATTGATCATTATATTAAAAATAATTGTATCATATTAGTTGATCACCTTACAAATCAAGAAAATATTAATTAATTTTTTTATATATATTACTCTTGTTAATTCTTTTTGAAATGTTCACATTTGTTTGTAAAATTTTCAAAAAGTTTTTTAAGTGGTGAATTAGCAAAATTATCTTTTTTTATTTATGATTTCTTAAATACCACGTGCAAAATAAAAAATGATCAACTAATATAGGACAGAGAGAAGTATACAAAAATATATCCTTTTACCCTATTTGACACACAACGCGGTTTCACATGGAAATCTTCCTTTTAAATCAATTTTACAATTTCCAACCCCCATATGCTATCTCCTATGCTTCATTCAAATAATAATTATAATAATAACAATAATATTAATTTTTATATATATAAAGCTGGATATAGATAATTTGATGTGGTACATGTTTTTGACCAACTCTTCTATTTATCTTTTATATCCTATTTTGACAATTTATATTTGTTTTCTACTTTTTTTTAATTTGTATTTTTAAAAAACTAAAAATGTTCAAATGACCACCCAATTAATAACCTCCCTTTAAAACATTCCTTAAAATTATAATTCTTCCTACAAGGAGATATCAAATCATGTACTATATTATTTTAAAATAACATAATATTATTAAATTGAAAATTAAGTAAACAATTATAAAATGAATGATAAAGTATAAGTTCCTATGAATAGTGAAAGTAAACTTTCTTATGATTACTACTAAAGTTAGTTAGTTCTAAAATCTCTTAATTACACCTCTTAAATATGCTTTCTCTTCCCTCCCCATAGTGAATTACTTAGTTATTATTATATTTTTGGAGTTTTTACTTTAAAATAATATAAATAAATATTGATATAAGATATAGAAGATATACTAAATTGAATGTTTTTAGTTGGAGTATCATTTATTTCATTTTCTTAGAATGTCTCTCTGGCCATTTTCTTTTCTCTCTTTTTCTTTAAATAAAATTATCTTAACATACTCAACTAATTAAATTTCTTATATAATTATGTCTTAAACAAGGGAGGACATCATACAATAATAGAGGATATTAATATTAATTAGGTAATAATTTAACTGTTTTTTCAAATTTTTATTTAAAAGTCCAATAAAATCTCTACACTTCCTTTCTCCCCACCATTTAAATAGTTACTATACAATTATGAGTGTTAAATTACATTCAAATTATTATTTTATATTGGGTAAAGGATCAAATATGCCCCTAAACTATTCGGAAAGGTCTAGATATACCTCCGTTTAAAGTTTGGCTCACTCATGCCCTCGCCGTCCAACTTTTGGTCTAAATATGCCCTTATGGGCGTTAGTTGGTCTGTTGGACATATCCTGCTCATTTTTAATTTCTTTAATGCCACATGGAATTGCCATGTCATTTTGACTTACCACATGACATTTATATGAAAAATTGGAAAAGGGATCAATTATACCCCCTAAAAAAATTCGAACCCATAAACACCTAATCCGACCCATAAAATCAACCCCCCCTTTTAAATAAACTACCCGACCCGTTTTCAACAATTTTGTTAAATTTTATTTTTACGATAAATCCCCAAAAAATTAGTAAATTGATTAATAAAAAATAGGAAAAATATGAAAAAAAATTTATAAAAATTAACGCCAAAAATTCACAAAAAATATTGTAACCTTAAATTCAACAATTTCAACAATTTTTTTAAATTTTTATTTTTTTTTGGTAAATCCAGAAAATGAGTAATTGATTAATAAAAAATATGAAAAAATATGAAAAAAATATAAAATTAACCCCAAAAAATCACAAATAAATATAGTAACCTTAAATTCAAAAATTTCAACAATTTTTTTTAAAATTTTTTTTCCAGCAAATTCCGAAAATGAGTAATTTATTAAAAAAATAAAAATTAAAAATTTTATATTTTTTTCATATTTTTTCATATTTTTTATTAATCAATTACTCATTTTCTGGATTTACCAAAAAAAAATAAAAATTTAAAAAAATTGTTAAAATTGTTGAATTTAAGGTTACAATATTTATTTGTGAATTTTTGGCGTTAATTTTATATTTTTTTTCATATTTTTTTATTAATCAATTACTCATTTTCTGGATTTACCAAAAAAAAATAAAAACAAAATTTAAACAAAATTGTTGAAAATGGGTCGGGTAGTTTATTTAAAAGGGGGGTTGATTTATGGGTCGAATTAGGTGTTTATGGGTTCGAATTTTTTAGGGGCATAATTGATCCTTTTCCATTTTCATATAAATGTCATGTGGTAAAGTCAAAATGACATGACAATTCAATGTGACATTTAAAGAAATGAAAAATGAGCTGGATATGTCCAGCAGACCAACTAACGCCCATAAGGGCATATTTAGACCAAAAGTTGGACGGCGAGGGCATGAGTGAGCCAAACTTTAAACGGAGGGTATATCTAGATCTTTTCAAATAGTTTAGAGACATATTTGACCCTTTACCCTTTTATATTTTATTGAAACACACCCTAAACACCAAATAAACTAAAATTCAAACAAAAAAAATGTCATTTGTTTTGAAACAAAAGAAATAACACAACAATAATAACATTCGTCATTTATATTTGCTTACGATAAAAAACATGAGCAAGCTCAGTCAGACAAAGTTGCGAATCATTTCATTTTTATTAAAAGACAAGGAAATAAGGAATATCCTGTTGATGATCATCATGTAGACCCCATCCTACACACCACATTTTTAGTCAATTTTTTTCAATAAAATGTCAGTGTCCCACTAGCTCCTCTAGCAACTATTTTTTTCTTTTAGTATAAGTCACCTCTATATGAAACTTCATTGCTCTTTCTTTCACAATCCCAGAAAATTTCCAATTAAAATAGACCTTAGACAAAAAAAAAATCTTCTTTTTTTTATTAAAAAAAAACACAAACAAAAAGAAAAACGAGTATATTACCAACTCCCACGTTGTCTTAGTCAAAATAATCTGCCATATTTGATTGACCAAGCCATTAAGAAACTACTCTATATATATATTAGATCCACAAACAAATCATCTAGACCAAAAAAAGAACATAGCAAAATAACAAAGTAATAATTTTGTTATTCAAGTTCAATCCAACATGGTTGAGCATAATTTTCATCAACAAAGTCATAGTTTTGTTAAGTTGGTGATATTTCTATGCTTGTTATTTCTATCTGCTAATATTTCAGTTGAAGCGCGAATTCGTCATTATGAATGGGAGGTTAAATATGAATACAAATCACCAGATTGTTTCAAGAAACTTTCTATTAGTATCAATGGTAAAACTCCAGGACCTACTATTGTTGCTCAACAAGGTGACACTATTGTTGTTGAAGTACAAAAATAGTTTGTTAACTGAAAATCTTGCTATTCATTGGCATGGAATTAGACAGGTAAATATACATTTTAAAAAAATCCCTTTTAATTTATTTTTTTTAATCAATAATTTTGATTTTATATATCTTGCGAATATTGTAGATTGGAACACCATGGGCTGATGGAACAGAAGGTGTGACACAATGTCCTATTGTGCCAGGGGATACTTTTGTATACAAATTTGTTGTTGATAGGGTTAAGTTTTTTTTTCCCTTTGAGTTGCATTTAATCGAAGCAGAGAAACAATCATGTTTGCAGTACAATTATAATGGAGATTTGTTTTTACAAATTTTGTGCAGGCTGGAACATATTTGTACCATGCTCATTATGGTATGCAAAGACAAGCAGGACTTCAAGGAATGATCAGAGTATCATTACCTGATGGAGTTTTAGAGCCATTTTCATATGATCATGATAAGAGTATTCTTCTCACTGATTGGTACCACAAGAGCACTTATGAACAAGCAACTGGTCTTGCTTCTTTGCCTTTTTCTTGGGTTGGAGAACCACAGGTAAAAACTATACTCAACTTATTCCTTTCTGTTTTCAATTCGTTTGTCTGATTTTGACTTAACACGAAATTTAAAAAAGTATAGAAGAGTTTTGATCTTTTATGTCTTAAAATTAAAGAATTGAATAAAAAGGAAAGAGTTTAAACAGACCAAAAAGAAAAGTAAGATGAGTAAATTGAAACAGACGGAATATAATGTTTTTGAAATGTTGTTCAATAATGTTTGCTAATTGTTAATTTGCTTTTTTCAGTCAATCTTGATTCATGGAAGAGGAAGATTCAATTGTTCTATTCCAAGCATAGATCCTACTCTTTGTAATGCTACAAATCCTCAATGTACACCTTATTCAATGACTGTTGTTTCTGGCAAGACTTATAGGCTTAGAATTGGCAGCTTGACTGCTCTTTCTGCTCTAAGTTTTGAAATTGAGGTATTTTTCACAATTCCCCTAAGTTGCTCGGACTCTCCAAAATTGCTGCCTCACTCGTGTCGGATCCTCCAAAAATGCACTACTTTTCGAGGATCTGACACGCAACCGTCAACATTTTTGAAGAGTCTGAGCAACATAGATGTCTACAATTTAACTAAATAAATAAGTTTGTTTGTTTTTTATTAATTGAATTTTGTGATGCAGGGGCATAACATGACGGTTGTTGAGGCAGATGGTCACTATGTGGAGCCATTTGTGGTAAAAAATCTTTTCATTTATTCTGGAGAAACATACTCAGTCCTAATTAAAGCTGATCAGGACCCTACAAGAAATTATTGGGCTAGTACAAAAGTTGTCAGCAGGAATAATACTACTCCAAATGGTTTGGGTATTTTCAATTATTACCCAAACCATCCTAGGAGATATCCTCCTACTGTACCACCCCCGGGGCCACGTTGGGATGACGTTACCCCCAGGATGGCACAGAGTGTTGCGATCAAGTCCCACAAAGATTTCATCCATGCCCCTCCTCTGACATCGGACAGGGTCATTGTCATGCTCAACACACAAAACAGGGTGAACGGGTATGTACGTTGGTCAGTCAACAATGTCTCGTTCAACATGCCTCATACGCCTTACCTGATCGCCCTTAAGCACAACTTATTACATACTTTTGAGCAAACCTCTCCTCCAGACAACTATGACCACAAGAATTATGACATCTTCAATATCGCGCCCAATGTGAATGCTACAACTAGCAACTCAATTTATCGATTGAAGTTTAACACAACAGTGGACATCATATTGCAAAATGCCAACACAATGAATCTAAACAACAGTGAGACACATCCTTGGCATTTACATGGACATGACTTTTGGGTCATGGGCTATGGTAATGGAAAGTTCAACCAATCTATTGACCCAAAGAATTACAACTTTGTGAACCCAATAATGAAAAACACAATCCCAGTCCATCCTTATGGATGGACCGCATTGCGATTTCGGGCCGATAATCCAGGAGTTTGGGCCTTCCATTGCCATATTGAGTCACATTTCTTCATGGGAATGGGAGTTGTATTTGAAGAAGGAATTGAGAAAGTTGGCAAATTGCCTACTTCTATCATGGGCTGTGGAGAAAGTAAAAGGTTCCTCAGGCCTTAAATTCTTTAACATTATTGTCCAAAAGATTACTTTAGTTTGATATTGTTTGGATTCTTTTGATAGTTGCCAAAAATAAAAAAAAATGTGTTCCTTTTTGTTTTAAAACATCTACACTGTAAAAAAAAAAACAATACAATTCATTCTTTTGCTGCTACTCATGTGTCATAATACTATATCCTTTTTTGTCTTATCATAACATAGTTTTTTCAAGATTTACAATTCTTTCTGTGAGATTCCTTCAAAACATATTTATTGATATTTAAGCTATTGTTGTTAGTTAATTGTCCCTAAAGATATATTGGTACAATGGAATGCCTCCATCACTCCTCATCCAACACTTGTGAGGATTATATTATACTTAGAGAGACGAAATCAAAATTTGAACATTATAGATATGGAATTTTATCATAATTATCAGGTTTAAAATTTATTATACATTTTTATTGATTGGGCGTAAAGTTTTTAACAGATATATTAGATTTACACGACAACTTATGCTCTACACGATCAATTAACTCTTTAGAGCATAAGTATGCAACGCCACAACTTATGCTTATGTAATTTAGGGTCAAATATTTGGATGGTTGGTCAATAGGGTTACACAATTTATGAAACTAACAAGAACCGAAGGAGGCAACCGCAACAACAAACCAACATGCATTATTTAGAGAAGGATAATGATCTATATTGAACGAAATCTCAATTTTAAATGACAAAATTATTCGTCACTAATAATCAAACTTGATTGAGTACAACCAAACTCAGAAAGCCTAAAATGAGCACTCAACCTCCACTGGATGTCGCTACTCAGATCTGTATTGAACGTATCCATTAGTTGTTAGTATTATTGTTGAAGTGAAAACAATTGAAACTTAGTATATATTTAAAATTTTGAACTATAACAGTGTAACACCAAAAATTTCTAAGCTAAGACTCGAACTATTCTTTGAGTATGTATAGGCCCAAACTCTATAATATATAGTTATGCATAGGTGTGAAGATTAATTACTAAGTGTGAAAAGTGTATTGGATGTGAATTAAGGTCATAAAGAACCTCTAGCACTAAGTTAAGTTCAAAGATTCTCTACCGATTAAGTTTTTGCATAAGATAATATGTTAGGGTCAACTTTAAATGAGTATATCTCCTAGAATATGAAGAGTTATGTGTCCCATTATACCCACCAACTTAAAGGTCTTTGAGTTTTCTTTTCAACACCGCTAACTGCTTGTCAATATGATTCTAGAGTAAAAAAATTGCTTTAGGAGAGACGCTCTAGTCTAGAAAATTTAGTCCCAAATAGTATGAGTAAGAGTACGACTCGTACTTTGATAGTACTACCCATACTATGACCCATAAAAGCTTGATAGAGTCCGAAAATCAACAGAGTCAACCACGAGTCAGACCATGATGCATGGTATCAATGTACAACCCGTATATCACTGTATACGATCCAGATATCACTGTATATCAGTGGTTTATCAAATTTTCAGATTTTTAAAAAAGCTATATTGAGTTTCTTTTCCCCCTTTACACTCGCCGGTCCATCCCAACAACCCCCAAGAGCTCTCTTCGACCCTACTAAGTCTAGAGAAGTATTCTTCATGATCTTATAATATATATATATATATATATATATATATCCTAGAATTGCTACATGATTCTAAAATTAAATCATCCTCCTTTTATAGTGAATCAAGAACTTAATTCTAGGGTACAAGGCTTAATTTTGAGCAAGTCCATCAAGATTCTTCTTTCCAAATCAAGGTAAGCACTCTCTCATGATTTCCTAGTGGTGCTAACAAATAATTATGTATTCTAAGAAAAAATTCTTGTCACGCTTCGAACCTACACCCTGGACGTGGTCGGCACTCGAGAACCATTGCTGGTCCCCAAGCGAACCATTGGCCTGGCTAACTACTTAGCGGAAGACTTACTCAAGCGATAAATAGCTTAAAAACAAAATTTTGAACATTTAAACTCAAAGTAAATATAGAACTCAAACTGTCTATAAAATACTCAATAACATAAGTATAATAGTTTGCAAAAACATCTCAAGAAATATTGAATACTGAAAGACTCTTCAACTCTATCTATGTATATAGCCTCTAATGTTTGAGATAGGTGTCGGGTCAAGACCCACGACGCCTCAAAACAACTAGACTGAAAGTAAATGTGAAGTCCTCTGGAATGCAAGAAGGCTCACCAAAACTATCTGGAGTGTAGAGTGATCTCAACAGAGCACCTGTTGATGATCCTGGACACTTGTATCTGCATCATAAAAAGATACAGGTCAAATGACATCGGTACATTTGAATGTACAAGTATGCAATATAACTGAATAACAAATAACTAAATAAAAAGAGTGGAATAGATATAGGTATATACTCAACTGAATGTATAGAAATAAATGAGTGTAATCATTAAAACTTTACAAAAATACTTACTCATATCTGAAATTAATAAGTTAAGTGATATAATGAAATTACGCTTTTAACTTTATTTGAGAGATTATCTAACTGACAACCATCATTATGAGCTATATGATGATACAACATCTTATCCACGCTGCCAGAATTGTCCTAGCTATATCGTGCCGGGATATAGAACCTCTCAACTAAGTGGATCCACTAAGCTCTGCCTGAAGGCACTAAGGATTCATCTAAAAAGTATGATCCTGTACCCATGTTGGCAAGACATGGTTTATGGGGGTTGTGAGTTATTTGAACTCTCTCCCATATCAGTGCTCAATACTACTCCCAATTATATATACTCTTGGTCAAATGTAAAAAAAACATACTCTTTCTCTAGTTTGAGATAATTTCTCAAACTATCCTCTTAAAAGAGGTAACTACTCTGGAATATCTTTGAGACTCATGGCTCATTTAGAAAACAAGACTTCTCATTGCTCAATGTAAAAATACATTCTGGGTTGAGATAATTACTCAAAAAGGGCCTCTTTATAGGTAACTGCTCTGCACTTAATCTTTATGAAAAACTCTTTTAACTTTTCTAAAAAAAAAGTCTACTCTTTTCCTTCATGTAAAAATTAAACATTTGGGAAATACTTAGTTCCCTTATACTCTTTCTCAAACTCCTCTTTACTTTCTCAAAACTCAGTTTAAACAATAATGTTTTGTTTAAAAGATTCTCAGTAAGAATTCAATGAATACTTAAGAATATGGTTCACGCTAAAAAATAAACATGAACAATCAACTCAATAATCGAATACACAATTTACAACAATTCAATAATTAGAAATAAGAATTAAATAATTAAAAACTCAAGAACTCAAGAACTCAAAACTCAATATCAACTCACCTCAAGGATACTCAAATCCACGGATAGAACCCTAGATTACTCTTTTATTGATTTGAAAGTAGATGTAGGGCATGAAGACGAATTAGTTCAACCCTATAATAGCCTTACATACTTGGGAAGACAACATTCTCGGAGAAATTAACGAAACTCGAAGAACGCTCAAAACCCTAAATTTTCTCCTCTTGAAACCTTGTTCTAATGTCTTGAAGTGTTAATGAACGTACAAAAGCTGATTAACACTTTTTAAGCCTTTAATTAGGTATAAAACGTCATGGTTTATGATTAGAATAAGGATTAAAAAGACATAATTTAAGTACCAAACACATAGGGGAAAGACCAAAACGACCCCAACTTAAAAAATTGATAGAGTGCCTTAAAAAGAAGATTTCACGGACCGTTTAAGGCTCCACAGTCCGTGAAACACTTAATGGGACATATAGCCGTCCGTGAACCTTCACCTGTCTAACTAGGCCTCACCTGTCTAACTAGGCCTCACCTGTCTAACCTTCACCTGTGTAACTCGATCTCACTAAAACAAACATAACTTTTTACTCCAAACTCGAAATGAGGTAAACTAGGTGGCTTTGGAAAGAAGACTCAAAGACCTTTCATTTAATAGATCATGAGACACCTAGTTTGTTTTATTATGAGAGATATGGCTATTTGAATTTGACCCAAGTAAAATCTCACATTGAAACTTAATCGACGAAAGAGCTTTCAACTCAGTTTTCTGCTAGGGGATTCTAGTGACCTTAATTCATATACAAAATAATTCACACACTAAAGAATTTACCTTAACACCTAAGAATAATTAAGAATCACTTGGTACAACCTTATACTCAAATGAAGAATGGTTCGAGTCTTAACTTAGAAATTTTCGGGGTGTCACAATTCTATACTCCTAACCTAGGATTTTCAAGATAAGTCATCTCAAGGTTAGTGAACGGAATTTTGTAAATATATAATGTAAGTA